GAGACCATCCTGGCTAACATGGTGAAACCCCGTCTCTACTACTAAAAAATACAAAAAACTAGCCGGGCGAGGTGGCGGGCGCCTGTAGTCCCAGCTACTCCGGAGGCTGAGGCAGGAGAATGGCGTAAACCTGGGAGGCGGAGCTTGCAGTGAGCTGAGATCACGCCACTGCACTCCAGCCCGGGTGACAGAGCAAGACTTTGTCTCAAAAAAAAAAAAAAAAAAAATAGAGATGGTGTCTCACTGTATTGTCCAGATTAGTCTCAAATTCCTGGCCCCAAGCAATTCTCCTGCCTCCACCTCCCAAAGTATTGGGATTACAGATGTGAGCCACCACACTCAGCCTAATGTACAAAGTAAATTATTGTTGGTGATTGAACAGAAATTACTCATCTTCAAGCTTCTGACGTACATTAATGCTTTGTACATCCTAAATTCTCAAATGTTTAAAGAAAGCAAAACTAGGAACAACTGTATAGAACTCTAGATCCATGGTAGGAAGATGGATTGCAGCCCTGGGAGATTTGGGGAGGAAAGTGCATGGTGAAAGGTGTGAAGTCATGACCAGGTAGATAAACTTCAGAGCTTCCCTTTGATAGGAGTCACAGTGTTGTATAACCTAATCTCAGAAGTTACATACCATCATTTTTGCCATAGTCTGTTAAAAGCAAGTCACCAGGTTCAACCCATATACCAGAGGAGAGGCATGCTCAAGGATGTCAATACCAGGAGGCAGAAATCATTGTGAGCCATCTCAGAAGCTATATACCACACTCCCATTTCACAAATCAAGAAACTGAGGTACTGCCAGGCATGGTGGTGCATGCTTGTGTTCCCAGCATTTTGGGAGGCCAAGGCAGGAAGATTGCTTGAGGTCAGGAAGTCAAGGCTGCGGTGAGTCAAGATTGCACCATTGCACTCCAGCCTGGACAACATAGTGAGATCCTTGTCTCTACCAAAAGAAAGAAAGAAAAAAAAAGGCCAGGCGTGGTGGCTCACGCCTGTAATCCCAGCACTTTGGGAGGCCAAGGCAGGTGGATCACGAGGTCAGGAGATCAAGACCATCCTGGCTAACACGGTGAAACCCCATCTCTACTAAAAATACAAAAAAATTAGCCAGGCGAGGTGGCAGGCGCCTGTAGTCCCAGCTACTCCGGAGGCTGAGGCAGGAGAATGGCATGAACCCAGGAGGCGGAGCTTGCAGTGAGCCGAGATGGTGCCACTGCACTCCAGCCTGGGCAACAGAGCAAGACTCCATCTCAAAAAGAAAAAAAAAAAAGAAACAGGTTCAGAGAGGTTTAGGAACTTCCTCCAGGTCACCTAGTAATATGCTTAGGCAGGATTCAAACCCAGAGCAACTCTCCCTTTTATTTATTTATTTATTTATTTTTGAGACAGGGTCTCACTACTCTGTTGCCCAACAATGCAGTAATGCAGTGCTGGCTCATTGCAGGCTTAGCCCCCTGGGCTGATGCAGTCTTCCCACTTCAGCCTCATGAGTATCTGGGACTACAGGCACGTACTACCACACCTGGCTAATTTTTACATTTTTTTTTTTGTAGACAGAGTCTTGCCGTGTTGCCCAGGCTGGTCTCAAACTCCTGGCCTCAAGCAGTCCTCCCACCTTGGTCTCGCAAAGTGCTGGGATTACAGGCGTGAGTCACGATGCCTGGCCAGCTTTCCCTTTTAATGACTAAGCATATTAACAAAGTCACCTTAAATAATATTTAAGTAGTAGCTACTCTATGATGCTAACATGTTCTCTCATTTAATCTTCACAGTAGAACTACAATGTTGGTTAATATAGTTCCTATGGGTAACAGATGAGAATGGATGAATGAATCAAATGTATAGGCCAGCCACAGTGGCTCACACCTGTAATCCCAGGACTTTGGGAGACCGAGTCAGGTGGATCACTTGAGGCCAGGAGTTCAAGACCAGCCTGGCCAACATGGTGAAACCCTGTCTCTACTGAAAATACAAAAATTCACTGGGCATGGTGGCACACACCTGTAATCCCAGCTTCTTAGGAGGCTGAGGCAGGAGAATCGCTTAAGCCAGGAGGTGGAGGAGCCGAGATCATGCCACTGCACTCCAGCCTGGGCAATGGAGCGAGACTCCATCTGAAATAAAAAATGTATACCTGTTCCAGACAAACTCTAAAACCATTTTTCCTCAGCTCTCACAACATAACAGTTAACACAGAAGACTTCTGTGACCCCAGGCCGGGCGCGGTGGCTCACACCTGTGGTCCCAGCACTTTGGGAGGCCGAGGCGGGCGGATCATGAGGTCAGGAGATCAAGACCATCCTGGCTAACATGGTGAAACCCCATCTCTACTAAAAATACAAAAAATTAGCCTGGCAAGGTGGCAGGAGAATGGCATGAACCCAGGAGGCGGAGCTTGCAGTGAGCCGAGATGGCACCACTGCTCTCCAGCCTGGGCGACAGAGCGAGACTCTGTCTCAAAAAGACACCAAGTGGGTGTCTTCTCATCGATTCCGACATTATCTACCTGGAGCCAGTGTCAGATACCACAGGTCGAGGGCTGGGTCCCCAAGGCTCCACCTCCCTTCAGACACTAGTCACAAGTCCAGGCCTCCAAAACTTGTGACCAACCAGCTTCAAGTTGGAGTTCCCACCCCTGCCAACCCCTGCTTTGGGGTTCAATTAATTTGCTGGAGTAGCTCACAGAACTCAGGGAAACAATATGTTTACTGGTTTATTATAAAGGATATTGCAAAGGATACAAATGAGGACATGTGTAGGGTGAGTTGCGGGGAGGGGGGGGCGGAGCTTCCATGCCCTCCCTGGGTGTGTCACCCTCCGGGAACCTCTGCATGTTCAGCTAGTTGTTTTTTGGGGGTTTTTTTGTTTTTGTTTTTAGATGGTGTCTCATTCTGTCACCCAGGTTGGAGTTCAGTGGCGCGATCTCAGCTCACTACAACCTCCACCTCCTGGGCTCGAGCAATTCTCATTCCTCAGCCTCCCAAGTACCACACC